AACCTAAAAGACCAAATACACTGACTGAGGCTGGACAGCGGGATTGTGCTTACTTTACACCTCACAGTGAGATCTATCCTATCACCACCTAAGAAGCAAATCCTATGCCTCTTAGCTGTCTCCCCGTCCCTCCTCCCCACTAACAATGAACTGTCTGTGTCTAGACTCAGATGTATAAGCGGAGTCAAACCATGAGCGCTCTTTTGAGACATTCCCCTTTCACATAGCATAATGTTTGAAAGATCCATTCATGCGCCATCTTATCGGTACTTACCCCCTTTATGGAAAAATAAATACTCCACTGTATGGATATATCGCATATTATCTGTTCGTAAGTTGACGGGGTTATTTCCACTGTTTGGCTATCGTGTTGAACCCTGTGAAAGTCATTGTGCACGCTGCTGTGCAGACTGTGTTTTCATTTCTCCTGGCTATCTATGCAGCAGTGGCATTTCTAGGTCACAGCATAACTGTCTGAGGACCGTCAACACTGCCTTTCACCATGGCTGCAATGTCACCCCTACCAACAGTATATGAATCGTCTGTGTTTTACAGTCTTCACAAACACATTGTGAAGGCTCAAAGTTGAGCCTTTGAGGGTTTTGTTGTTGTTTGGGTTGGTTTGTTTCTGACACAGGGACTCTCTACATAGCCCTGGCTGTCTTGGAACTCATTATGTAGACAAGGCTAGCTACAGACTCATAGAGATCCACCTGCTTCTGCCTCCCCGGTGCAGGGATCAAAGCATGCGCCACCACGCCCAGTGGTCTTTGAGTTACTGTAGCTGCCCTAGTAGATGTGAATGGTTTTTCTCTGTGCATTTCCATTTGCTCGGAAGTTGACTCTCCGCTGAATGGTCTTACCACCCTTGTTGAAAATCAGTTGGCAGCAGACAGGGATCTGATTTTGGGTCTTAACTCTAGCCCATTGTTAACAGGTCTGTCTTGTATCTTTGCTACTCTGGCTCCTACTGCTTTGTGGTCAAGTTTGAAACCTGGAGTGTGAGCCTTGGAATCTGTAGCTGTTTTGGGTCTCTGAACTACGGGAATGGTGGAACCCGATCATCGGTTTTCAGTGACAGCTTAGTTGAGTTGTTGAAAGGGGCTGCACTGAATCTGTAGTTTAGTCTTCAGTCTGTCACCTTAACAGTGTTATGTTTTTCAGTTCATGCACATGAACAGTTTTTCATTTATTTGGACACAAAAATTGGGGTGGGGCCTGGGGGCTGGGATTTAGCTCATTATAGGGTGCTTGGCTGGCAAGCCCTATGCAAGACGTTGGGTTTAATTCCCAGTATCTCATTAAAATTTGTTCTCAGAAATATTTTTGCATGTCTTTAAAACCATTCCCACCTGGTGCAGTGGTGCATACTTGTAGTCTGCCTCTGGGAGGCAGAGGCAGGCAGATCTCTGAGTTTGAGGTCAGTTTGGTCTACAAAGCGAGTCTGGGACAGCCAAGGCTACACAGAGAAAGCCTGTCTCGAAAAAAACACTCCCCCCAAAAGAAAGAGAAATGAAAAGAAAAACAAACAAACAACAAAATTCCCTTAAGTTCTTTGTTTTGCTGTAAATATAAATAAAATTGTTTTCCAAATTTTATTTTTGTATTGTTTATTGCAAATGTGCACAACTGATTTTTTGAGTATTGATATTGTATCCTATACAATCTTGCTGAGCACACACTAGTTTTAATGGTGTCTTAGCAGCCTTAAGATTTTCTCTATAAAGCTCATGTCATCTTTGAACAGAAATAGTTTTAAGATTCCTTCTCTAATTTGCATGCATTTAAAAATGTTTTACTGAAAATCTTTACATGTTGCAGAAAGAGTGCCTAAGCTATTGCTTTACTCTCTAAATGGAATGTAGTGATGGTTTCTAACTCTCCCTGTTTCTTTCCTTCCTTCCTCCTTCCCTCCCTTCTCCTTCTCTCTCTTTTTCTTTTCTTTACTTCATTTTTTTGACAGGATTTTACTATGTAGCCCTGGTTGTCTTGGAACTGGCTATAGACCAGGCTGGATTAAAGGCTTGTTGCCATGTGCTGCCTCCCTGTTTCTTATTCTATCTTCCTGTATCTGTTCTGTGTCTTTCTCATTGTATCTACATTGTTTCTTATTGGATCTTTTTCTCATTGAATCTGTTTGACATTGTTCTCATTGTATGTTTTGTGCTTCCTTAATGTATCTCTTTCCTGTACTGTGGCCAAATCGCTCTTACATTACATTTTTAAAAGGAAAGGGGGAAGCTACAGAAACAAGCCAGATAATTTACTTAAAAACTAAGGATAAGCTATGCAAATGTTCTGTCTTCATGTCGCTTAACTCCAGAGTCAAACTTAACACTGTCTACACGCCAACTTTAGATCACATGATCTCTTGAGGGCCCTAAGGGGACGAAATGAAGGGTCCAAGGGATGATTTATCTTCAGGAACCTTTTATAAGACACATGTACTTTCTACCAAGGTGCACTATTCATTTGAAAATCTCAATCAGGGGCTCACTAAAAAGGAGCGCTGATTCTACCTGAGTAACAGTGTTAAATATTAACTGTGTATCTTTTCTAAAATGAAAATCTGAAGTCACATCTATGCTTTACACCCCTTGGGTTCTTCATTGGCCCCAGGACTGAGTACTATATCCTGCCCTTGGCAATAATGATTGTTCACAGCCTTACTAGCCAGGTCCATCTCCATTCGAATGTGACTCAACATTTACCGATCATTCTACTTTACTGAGTATTGCAATGTTGCTCAAGTTCCTTCCCAGGGGGGAAGACATAAGCACCTACCCCTCCTCTTAAGGTCCATGCAAGCCTGCAACCAAAGTTCACTCTGGAAGCTGGGGAGTTTATTGGGCTTCCTTCGAGCACAGGTGAAGAAGGGTTACCTGCTGGAGGCCACACTGAAAACTGACATCACCCAGCAGGGATGAGGGGTTTCTAATAGTTCCGTGGCTGGATGCCCTCTGTCCTGGTCTTCCCAGCCTATTCTAGCCCTTCCTGGAGGCCAAGTGCATAGAAAAGGTGATAGGAGAGGCTGGGTACTCAGTGAGGGTCTCCCCTAGGAGGGACGCAAACAGTCGGCAAGCACAGCTGGGGCGATTGTTTGAAACAGGCACAGCTGAATGCCCCAAGATGGCAGTTGTTTGGCTCGGGTGCTAGTCCTATACAACACGTACATTGTGTGCTAGAGGCCAAAAGACAAGTACGCACTCTTGAGTTCACAGTCTATTGAGAGATGCATATTACGACCACCCGCCTCAACAGCCCGTTCATCTGCAGCAATGGCTGGGGTGACAGTAAGTCAGGGTTCCCGGCCACTGGCATCCCAAGTTTTATGTAGCACCAGCCTCCCTTTTTAATCTTAAAAGTGAGAGAGAGAAAGAAAGAAAGAAAGAAAGAAAGAAAGAAAGAAAGAAAGAAAGATTTATTCCTGCGTGCCAGAAGAGGGCATCAGAGCCCAGAATACATGGTTGTGAGCCACCATGTGATTGCTGGGAACTGAACTCAGGACAGTGGTCTTAACCGCTCCAGGCCCTAATCTTAAAAGTTTTAAGTTTGGATAAGGAATTATACACAATCGTCTTATCCTGATATCCCCTTTCAACCAGAGAGCAAGACAGCATCAGCTGTTTGAGAGCTTTTGCACAGCACTCACTCATGTGACATCTTAAACCGTGCCATCTGACAACCCTGACAGGGTTTTGCCTACTGTGTGTTGGCATAAGCGAGCTCCCATTCTCAAAAGACTTGATACCTACGGAACAGGAAGTGATCAAAACAGAAGTTATTGCCGTTCAAGTCTGGGTGAGCCAAATCAGGCTTTATGTCAAAACCCCTCAGCTCTTCCTTCAACACACTCTTCTCTAAGTTCCACGCCAAGGGTGGGATTCACCTAGCTCCTCACTCACCTACCAGAGCAGCCAAGCATCAGATCAGCCAGCGCTGCAGGGCCACTTATCCTCAGCCAAAGGCTGGGCAGGGCGTCTGAATCCTGCGGTCCACAGTGGGTGGGCCAGGAGAGGCACGCCACAGGCCCGCAGAAACTTGGATATTTGAAGTCTCAGGTCAGACTCTGAGGTGCCCCAGTTTCCCTGAGGGCGCGTTCACGCGGGCTGAATACAGCCCTTCGGTGCCTCTTTCCCTGCGCTTCAACCCACCTGGATTCCTCAACTCAATCACGGGGTCGTGGGTCTCCTGTGGGTCCCCTACAGCGGTGACCCCTCCTCACTGTTCAGCCTTTGTCAGATGCAGGCACAAGGACCCCACCATTTCGCCTGCCACCCACACAGGGTAAAGCTCCAGTATCTGCTGGAAAAATCCTTCCCGATGGTGGAGGAGCTCCCAGTCCCACACTTGTCCCCCTGTTCGCGCCTTCACCGCTGTCGTCCACAACCCGCAGCCAGGGTTGAGCGTGCAGGCCTCCGGCTCCTGGGTCCTCCGGTCTGTCTCCGGGGATCCAATGATGTCCATTGACCTCTCCGCACCGGTGACCTCTCTGGAGCAAGCCCACAAACGGACTAAATTCTCCTGCGCGCACTGGAGTTTTTCGCCTCTGTCCGCAGCAGCCGGTGGTTGGGTCCTCTACTGCACCAAATGCTATGGCCTCGTTCTCTCTAAAAGCGGTCCCCAGCCCGGCCGCACGCCGCAGCGACGGCTTCCAGCAGCTGGCTTAGTCCCCTTTCCGATGGGAAGCCCAGCACACGGGCAATTCTTTCCTCGTGGGATGCCCTAGTGGGTTACCCATCTAAGCGAGTTCCTCCGGGCGGGGCGTGTCAGCAGGGCGACTTTCCGAGATGCAGCCCCTGCGCCCCGTGGTCCCCTGGCCTCCCTGCCCCACCCTAGAGCAGCCCCAGGTGCCGGCTCCCGCGCAGCGCGTGGCAGCTCGGGGTTGGGACCTCCGCGCCTAGGCTTTTTACGCGGACTCCGGCACGTGTTGCAGCGGGGGGTAGGAAGGCAGAGAGGCCGGGCTCGGGACACTTTAGTGCACGGAAGAAAGTCACGGGAGGAGAGATGGCTGCTTTCGGAGAGTATCAATCACCCTGATGGCTGACCAGGATCACGGTCGACCTGCCGCGTTCGGTCGTTGGCCTGGGGGCCGGGACGCTCTCCGCACCCCCGTCCCGGGGCAGCTAATGGTCGGGTCCAGGCGGGAGGCCATGTTTGCTGGAATTAAAGCGGGCGGGGCGGCGCCAGCGAGCAGATGCGGCTGGAGGCGCGCGGGAGCCGGGCGCGAGCAGGGCGCAGCGGCGAGGGAGGCGCGGGGGAGGCCAGCGGGAGCCGGGGCGCCAGCAGCAGCCTGCATCGGCGGAGAGCAGCGGGGCGCCGCGGGAGCCGCAGTCGCCATGGCCGTGGCTGTGGGGAGACCGAGTGTGAGTGCCGGGGCCTCGCTTGTCCCCAGCGCGGGGATCGCGGGGCGCCGGGTGGGCTCCGCTTCGGGGCGCGTGCGGGTGGAGACTTGAGGGGACCGGGAGAGGGGCTCTGGGTGGTGGTGGCTGCTGGGGCTGTGGGTGTGTGCATGCATTTGGGCGCGAGTCTGGGGCTGAGGGGAGCTTGGAGAGCCCGCAGGCTCGGAGCCTACCTGATGCAACACTGGGTCGCCTTGGCGCGCCCCTCTTTCGGGGATGTGGGAGAAAAAGGACTCCTCTGTGAGGCGCCCTTAGAAGGGGTTGCTGGAGCTGCTGCTTTCGCAGCCAACCTCCCTCTCCCAGCGCACCACGCTCGCCTGGTGACAGTGGAGGAAGGCGCCGGCTGCCTAGGGTTTCCTCGCGGTTCTCCCGCGCCCCGGGGGCGATCGGGGCATGAGAATTGGGAGCCGAGGCGCTGTGTCACATGGCTGGAGAAGCAAGTCCAGGGGTGGGATTTCCATGGTGGCTTACCCCCGGTGCATTGTGAAATTCCGGACACCCTCAGGCGCCCACCCGGGTGACCCGGCCCTGCCCAGGATGTGGACAAAGCCCTAGGCACACGCGCGCGCGCACACACACACAAAGTTTTCAAAGGGCTCCCTTTGGGGGGTGAGTGGAAGTCCTGAAATACTCTGAGGCTGGCAGGCCGGGGGCGGCGGTGCTGAATGAGGGGCTCGGGGAAGAGGAAAGGAGGGTGGGGTGCTTAAAGAGCTGCCCCAGCACCCCAAGGCAGGGAGGGGATGCTCCTGTCCCGACTCTGGGCCGGGTCCGCGCCACGGGCGGCGCCTCTCAGAGTACGACTCCGGGTGCGCAGCTCCGGAGCCAGCCGGAGCGGGGAGGGCTTCCGAGGATGTAGCTGAGGGTCTGATCCCTAGCCTCGGGTGAAAAGGAGGGAAGGGGCGGCGGCGGCGGCCTTTCCTTTTTATTGAAAGGAGGCCAGCCCAGTGGGAAAGGCGGAGTCCTCCTTTCTCTTTTTGGTTTTCTTTGTCGACGTTCATAGCCCACTTTTGCCTGGTCCTCCCTTGGGGCGGCTCCGGTGAAGTCCTTCCCTTGGCCCCCGTCTTCTTTCCCTTTCGAACTTTGCAGCTAGCTTCAGGTGGTGGCCTGATATTTTACAGACACAGAAAAGTCTTAGGTAGATGCTGAAAGCTGCGAAACCCCAGATGCACAGACACTCGACTCTTCGTCCTTACGCCTCTTCTCTCTCTCTCTCTCTCTCTCTCTCTCTCTCTTTCTCTCTCTGTCTCTCTCGCGCACACACACACACACACGCACACACACACACAAACGTTTTGCACTCCTGAAGAGTCTCAGCCCAACAGGAAGTTTATGGGGTCACCCTTTGCAACTTATACCTCATACGGTGGTTCGGTTGCTTTTTCTGCTGTTTGATATGTTTTGAAAGACTTTTTTCCACGGTCAGAAAATGGGCACTGCTCATCACTTACGCGTTACTGTGGCTCTTTTAGGCCTCCCAAACTCTGTTAAATGGAACAATCTTAGGAATTTTGTCCTCCTCTTGATACAAATTATACTCTTGTTAATTGGTCGGAGGCTGTCATTACTAAGGGAATTTGCGTAGTCCCTGGGCTGATCTCGTTTATTATTACGGTAAGGAAACCAAGGTTAAACCTTGCCCTCCCCGCACTTATTTTCAGGGCATAGATTCAAAGAACTAAAATAACAATATGTGTTCTAGATGCATCAGCAAGTGTCTGGGAATGTAAGTCTCCCGTGTAGGGGGTGTCTTTTTCAGCAACACCTACTGCCCGTGCATTCTTGAGGCCTGGGGGAGGTGGAAGAAATAATTTGCTGCACGTTTCCAATAAATTAGTGAGCTCATATATGTCAGTTAAATAGGAACAATATGCGGGTTTGAGATTTAGCTGTGTGGCCGTGATCACATATGGTCTGCCAGCCATATGTGAGCTCAATCCTCCAGAGTTCTTGTGGAAGGCCCCTCGTTGAGATAATAGGGAGATTTTAAAAGTATGTGTATACGGAGAAGATTGCTTCTTTATGCATATTGTATCCTGTTGCAGGAATTAAGGTCCAGTTTCTCAAAGCTTGGAAACAAGACACCCCAACCCTCCCCCCACTGCTGCTGTAGGAGCGCCCAGGAGTGCCCTGCATAGTTGAATGGGGCTTTTAGGAGACTCACAGAATGTGTGATCATATTTGCATAGGATGGTTAGAATGTTTCAGGGTGTTCTCTGGGAGTTTTTAAAGGGGCACCTCTGTGACTTGGTGTGTTGAGGACAACCCCAGTCAGTGCGGAAGATTTCCCCAAACCAGCTCCAGAAGTCTGTGTCACATCTTCAATGTTGAAACTTTTTACCTTCTTCAGCCGCTTTATCTATGCTGTGGTTTGGATGAAAAAAAGAAAAGGGATGGGAAGGGAAAGACCTACTCTGAAGTGGCCTTATTCATGAATGGAGTTGCCTTTAGTTCTTTAGAATTTGCTAAAAAAAAAAACCAAAAAAAAAAAAAAAAAAAAAACAATTTAAAGAGTCTTTGAGGAAACCATAAATCTTTCTCTCCTGTCTGTACAAATGGCTGTTCCTGTCAAGAGAGAAGAAGAATGCAATCTGAGCAAGTTGTTCTCAGTTTTAGGCATTTTAGTGTGAGGTTTGCAGTGAGTAACAATTCAATTTTAACAAGCAGGAATTCTTGTACGTAAATGCCTGGGATTTTTTTTTCTACCATGCTGAGGATTGAATCCCTGATTTTGTGCTTTTCACTCAGTTTACTGCTGAGCTACCCACCCAGTCCAGCAAATGCTGTGTTTCCTATGCTGTGAAATGTATATATTCCGCTACAAATGCTTAAATTTCGAGGCTAACCTCATACCTTTCTTAGGTAGAGAGAGATACATTGTTGGTGTCCAAGCCAGAGCTGTAGTTTGATGTGGTGCTGTTTATTCCATTTTAAGTCTGCATCCTTAGCTTGGCCATTTCCCTGCTGGCCTCAGGCCTGGGCCCTGAGGAGACCCTAAAGCAGAGGTGTTGTTTTAGGAGCATATCTAGTTTAGCAAGAATGCTTCTCTCCTGTGCACACATCACCATTTTGGGTGAATTAGTGTTTTTGCATCCATATCCCAAAGCAGCTGTTTATTCTGAATAATGCATGGTAAATTACTCTGCCTGGGAATCAGGACTTAGGGAGATGGCACGCTCTCTCTTAAGGCATGGTATATGTCATGGAGTCTAAGAACTGAAAAGAACTTTAGTCGTGTTATGATTTAGTTACTTCCCCAGTGCAGACGTAGTTACTTTTTTTCCCTCCCTAACAGAAGGTCTTTTTCAACTTTTCCAGTGGTGGAAACGGCCTATCATGTCCTTGAAGAAATTTGCTTAATTGCCCTTTTATCCACTGAACTAAAAGAAATGGAAAACCAGCTGGGTGCAGTGGCGCATGCCTGTAATCCCAGCACACATGGAGGCAAGACGCAGGTGGTCTCTCTGAGTTCGAGGCCAGCCTGGTCTACAAAGCTAGTTCAGGACAGCCAAGGCGACACAGAGAAAAAGAAAAAAAAAAAAAAAAAAAAGAAAAGAAAGAAAGAAAAGAAAAACCAGAGTACTTGTTTGTCCATTTAATACTACTATTGAGTACCTGCTTTGTGCCAGTTTCAGTCCTAGGTGTTAGAAACGCACCTGTGGACAAGTAAGGCCCCTCCTGACTTGCAGTGCTTACTTGGTTATGTGTTCATTCATTTTTAAAAGGTTTAAAATCCCCGTGTGTTGAAGTTACAGACTCCTGTCACTTTGTAAACTAGGGAGAATGGAAGTATGTGCTATTGCTGAAAACAGAAACCAGGTAGGGTTTTGTATTCTGAATCACTTCAGAGTTTTCAGTAAAAATACGCTGTTCCAGAGGTGGAGTTTGCGTGTGAGGAATTAGTGACAGCAAAGTGTTGTTTTCTTTTGTTCTAAACTGACATTTCAGTGATTTGAAAATGTGACAGGTGGAGGAATCCAGATTGGCGTGTCTGGTGAAAGGTTAATGGAGATGAAAAAAGTGCAGGAAGAGCCGTCTAAACAAAATATGGGTTCTGTGGCTTTGGTGTGCTCTGAAAACTCATAACTCTTTAGCTAGTGATATGAACTGTATATAGTGAGGAACAAAAAGTCACAATTAAGAATTGCCAGAACAGTTTAAAATGCAGTAATGCTTCTTTTTCTCCTTCTTCTTCTCCTCTTCCTCCTTCTTCTTCGAGACAGGCTTTCTCTGCGTTGTTCTGGCTGACCAGGACTCACTTTGTAGACCTGGCTGGCCTTGAACTCACAGAGATCTGCATGCCTCTGCCTCTCTGAATGCTGGGATCAAAGGCGTGGTCCACCACTGCTTGGAAGTAATGCTTCTTTTAAAACTGCTTAAAAATTAATTAGTTAAAAATATTGTAATTAATTTCTTTAAAAAATATTTTAAATGACCTTTAGTAATGTGTCTGTGCTGTAGTGGGAGTCAGACTCAAGAAACGCGCTACAGAACGCAACACACTCCGCCATGGTCAGGTGACCGAGGTCATCACTATTTTCATCAGAAAGAGGTTTACTTCAGCAAGCATAACCCATCCTGCTTAAACTGCAAGCTGGAATCTATACTGTGCCTGGCTGGCCCTGCCCGCCTGAACACTTGAACGCTGGGCGCTTAGTGTCGGTCTGGGCACAAAGGGATGAATGATGGTGGGACTCCCATGATGCCACAATTTGGAGGGCCGGCTTTGATTGATCTCCAGAGCACTAAGCGTTTCCGCCCCTCAAAGATGCCACTCTGGAGGAAGCTTCACTTTTCTTTCTTCATGGGGGTCTTAATTTGGTTGTGGAGGAGGAGGCTGCTTTTAGATTTTTTTTTTCCTTTTACTGGGATCTGTCTTTTTGTGGCCTTGGCTACACCTGCCACTTTTGGGATCCGCAAAGCTGAACTATTATTTAAGACTCAGCGAATCCAAAGCTTGAATCCTT